GAGGATGACAAATATGGTAGAGACTAGAGGGCCTATGGAATCAATAAGCTTGTCGCTTGAGAGGGTGAAATATAATTACATAATTGGATTAATTATCCTTGATAAAGCAAGGGTTCTGATATGATAGAATTTATCCAAACAACTGATCACGTCTCGTAGTACTCGACAGTGGTACGTGAGTTACCGAATAGTACGTGCTGGAATGACGGGAATGTCGGGAATGTCATTGGTTACCATGGTGACCCCAAACTTCAACCGTTTTTTCCACAATTGCAGCAGACTTTTGGTCTCTGATTTTTGCTCTACTATTTAAATGTTAACGTGACAACAAAACCGACAGCAATTACAGGGGAAATTCCTGATATGAGCGGAATTTCCAACAAAGCCCGTATTCCTGTAAAATTAAAACCGAATAATTGACGTCTACTTTATACGTCTGCTAAATACTTTTATACCTGTGCTTTAAAATTGTACAGAACAAGGTGTTCAACCTCAAGGGAAAAGTATGGCGGCTGACTGCTTGTCTTTCGCCTTTACCAGCAGGTCCAAGAATACTCAATTATTGAGGAGGCGACACAATAAGCATTCATTTTAAATTAGATTTAGTAATATTAGAGGAAATTCCTTGTGCCAGAGGAATTTTCATCAAAGTTAATAATGTTGGAATTAGCTATAAGTGAGATAAACTATTCCTTAGTTATAAACGCTTTGCAGCAGGATGCCACACCATTGGGTATCTCTGGTAGAAAATAAGGTGGTAAGCAGAATACTTGACCAGAACCAAGTCTAGAAGGAAGATATTACTGTTATTATCTATATATATAATCGAGATTCTTATTTGTAATTCATCAATGATCAGCAACTTTGTAGCCAAGTACAGACCATTTGTCTCATTAACAGGTAGTGCCCACTCTTCTCAGGTTATTGCTCGCGACATGTAAACTGCTTACTATCTTTAGTCCCGAATGAACACTGATATCACAGATATTAAAGAACATGGAACAAGTGTTTTTAGAAGTTGGAGAGCATCAAGTAAGCTTATTTAGCGTCCACGAGATTTACTGGTCTCCTGATGAAGACGCCCGAAATGTTATAGAAAACACGACAACTGCTGCACTGAATCTAGATAGTATAATATGTAAAGAAGTAAGTATAAGTACTCATAGCACTGGTTCAAACTACTTGAGCGAGGTGGGGCCTCCATTTCTATATTTTCGTTGGACCTGGTAGTGGCACAGCCCCTCAAAATTTATAATTAAAGTTCATTTTAATTTAATTCAAATTAATTATCATTATCCCCTAATCACGAATTTACAACTTATTTTTTCGATTACGAATAATAGGACATATTATGAGAAGATTTTTTTGGGTTAAAAATCTCAAATTAAGAACTCTGCTCAAGAACAGAAAGGAAACGACCCCCAGGCCCCAGATCGGAACAAAATTTGTTGCAAACATTTATATACGGTAATGTTTTAACCACGATTTCGGCTAACAAAAAGTATTTTCACAAGGGAAGGTACAATATACGTAAAATGAAACTATAGATTCGGAATTATTTGACAATTAAAAAAAAACAAATTTCTATTATGATACTGTGCGTGGATAACAATATGATAAACTTCAAAGAAGTTGAATACCGGAAAATAGCATATAGATTTCTCGACAGCTTTTACTCTTCCCACATATCCCGTCTGAATAATGCGGAAAGGAAAATTAGACTAATTCGATTAAAACGTTTTCTGTCACAAAAAACAGGTTATTGGGATACAATAAGGCAATTTATATTAGTCGTTCTCTGTAAATTTACTGAGATGAAAAATGTTGCTCGCGCACAATTCAACCTATTCCATTGAGGGTTACAATTATACCTTTGTTCTAACGAAGTCTACTTCAGTACTTAGCCTCTCCCGACGTTTTATGTCAGGTTACAAAACATGAAGACTTGATCTGTCTGGACATCTAATCATAAATTGAATCAAGATTTGACGGCAAGTACGGCAGATATAATTGTCAAATTGTGGCGTCAAAGCAAGGTCGTCAGTATAGCATATGAGTTACTTCTACAAAATCCATGAGTATGACCACCTTATATTAGTTGTTATGGACGTTAAAAATGTTTTTACAAAAAATATCGTGAAAAAGTTTTCTCAAATTTGTCCTTTTTAAACGACAAAAAACTATGAATTACTGACGATATACTCTACAGATTCCAATGTATGTATAACTATTATCAACTGTACAAATACAATTGTTAGCCGAAAAAAAGTTTAAAGACTAAAGCAAGAAAAAACACATTTGAGCAAAGAAGCAATTCTCCAGAAGCTATCGTGGTGATGAAACTTAACTTATTTGATCATTGCTGTGTTCCATGAAATATCCAGCTTGCTCAATATTTCATGGAACACTTCATGAAATAACATTTAATGGTCATCTACAGAGTTTAGTGAAACAAGCAGTTACAAGACACTAAAGTCTACAAGTACAAAGTACAGTCTCAGGCTGGCGCGTGATATCCAATCTCACCGTCAAAATAAAGGTCTGCATTAAAGCATTGAAGCGTCATACTGATAAGCGATGTAAAACGTGAGAGCCGAGGTGTACTAGTGATATGGGTACAAAAGAAAATTAATCAAAACAATATATAAAGGATCGGGTGAAGACCACTGAAAACTGGGGTAGGATAGTGATTGATTAGGTGTAACCATGGTAACCACTAGAGCCAGTGTCGATTAGACTGCCACTAAAAAGCCCCCAATAGACAATAAACATGATGCAGAGCACCGTGAAAAGTTGGCAATCAAAGTTATTATCTGTGGAGAACTCATTAAATGTACGGTTTATAGAGGAGCCCCCAGGTAACGTACAGACTGCGTTCAATCAGTACCACATGATCGTTACCACGCGTGTAAGAGCAGGCTCAATCACTTCATACCCTCCCAACTGACCAATAAGAAGCAACAGCACTATCTGATAGCCAATCAGAAACGTCATATTCTCGCTTCTACCGGCTGGTCTAGACTGAGGACCGCTCGTACGGTGTCAGAGGAAGATGAGGTATATCACCATCTGGAGCTAGAGCTGCACTAACAAGCTACAAGCAGGCGGGGAATCTGTTCTGATTAATTATTTTGTGGTTCTAGATACCGGCTATGTAACAACGGCAGTCCAGGTGCAGTGCCAGATGTGTTACTGATTAGCATTAATTAATTAATAAGTTTTAATCAGCATTTATATTCGTTCATTAGTAATTAGTATCATTAAGTGATCAGTCAGTAGTACTAGTAATCAATCTTGTTAAACTAATTTAGTTCAAAATGTCATGACAGCGGTAAAACATTCAACGTTCCTAAAAAATGGTAAGGCTTTGATAAAAAAAATTGATCTAAATTTATCAACTAAATTGTAAAAACAGTTAAAATTTACATTGAAATTAATGTTGTAGTTTAAAGTACAGGATATAAATTAAAACACAAGTGTTCAAGAACACTAGTTACTCAGGACCAGAAATATGCAAAATATGCAGCTAACGTTGAACCAGAAGTGGCCGACGAATAAAAGTATAATTTAGGGTATAATTATAAAAACCAATTACGTCTCGGCGGTCTACTAAACTCCAGTAGTCAGTACCGCCATTGTTTTCAGTTCGCATCGATTCGTGGGATTCTCTTAATATCTCACCGTTCAATTTATAACCACTACAATAGCTGGCAGGTATTTATACTCCTCTCTTGCTCTTTCGCAGCAGTTTAGTGCTTATACGATATGCAGTAAAACATCAAAGGTAATGCTAGGCTTTTTGAATCCGAGGTTATGAAACACTCAGACTCAGAGGTTATGAAACACTCAGATTCTCAGAGGTTATGAAACACTCAGAGGTTATGAAACACTCAGAGGTTATGAAACACTCAGAGGTTATGAAACACTCAGAGGTTATGAAACACTCAGAGGTTATGAAACACTCAGAGGTTATGAAACACTCAGAGGTTATGAAACACTCAGAGGTTATGAAACACTCAGAGGTTATGAAACTCTCAGAGGTTATGAAACACCCAGAGGTTATGAAACCCCCAGAGGTTATGAAACACCCAGGTCCCAGAGGTTACATGAAGCAATCAGCATTCAACCTCTTCAGAGTTCATGCATGGGTCCCCTCCCAACTAAGTAAATCAAACCATTATAAACTGATAACAGATAACAGTGCGGATTGACCTGCTTCTAGCAACAACTGTACCGAATGACAAAATTTCTGAGTTAACAAGTAGAATTATTTAGCATTAAGCTAAAACCAGCGGGTAGAATTACGTAGCATCATACTAAAACCAGACGAAAACTTGCGTGTTTTGCCACTATAACACGTGACTCGTATTTTTAACACGTGACTCGTAACACGTGACTTTTAACAGTACGTGACTTTTAACAGTACGTGACTTTTAACACGTGCCTTGATGTCACCCCACATGAGCAGCACTGCTCATTTAGTTTTACTCGGGTCACGTTTCGTAAGGGAGGTCTTAGGCTTAAAAGAACAGAGAAATATGACTAACTGCATGCAACTAACTCCCTGAAGATCTGAGAGTTGCCGCGGTCCTCCTACAGGTATGACGGATTATGATGGCCCTTGCCTGATAAATTGGATAAGCTATGTTGTAAGATGTTGATTTATAGATGTAGGTTTATAAGATTGTAGCCACAAAATGTTGTATACTAGGATCAAAGCTGATCGCAAGTGTACAATATGGAAATTTACCTGAATACAGTCACTCCATGTAAATAGTCGTGTAATATCGCGAAGGACAGAGATATGCCGTCCGTAGAAAGATGTAAGAAATTACAACTGACAAGAAATGCGGTCGCATGTTTTTTGTATGTGGACGACCGCTTAATTTCCTGATCCATTGTATTATATTAGTTATAATGAAAACCATTTCTTTTGATAATATCTAAGATATCTCAAATATGATTGTTAAAATAGTTCTAAAGAATAAAAAATGTCTAACCTTTCCATCATATCAAGTTCTTTAACCACAGCAATGATGCCTGGTTTGGAGGAACACTCATCATCAAGGTACTTTACTGTTAGGTTGAGCTCCCCGGATTCGAACACTTCCTCTCTGATATAGTCTACTGCTGTTTGTGTAATGACCCTGAGAAGATAGAAGTTTGTTGGTTTGTGATGCGTTTTAGGGAGGAGTTGATCAGGTTATATACCCCCAGGGACCAAGTAATTGAAAAAAATACAGTAGTGAATAGTACGATTAAAAAATTCTTTTCTCCTTTCAATTTACGACTACTGAAATGACAATTCGACGAAGGATGCCTCAGAAGTCTCAAAATATCTGAAATAAGAGATGAAATACGGTCAAGAAAATATGTGAAAGGAATCATTTAACTCATTCGTACCTTTGGTGGGGAGGCCATTCTCCAAAGTCAGGGAAATTAAACGAAACGAGCACCCCAACTTCGAGCTCGATTGTAGATTGTCGTAAGGGAACTAGTGCTAGTAGAAAGACAGCTCTCAGAAGAGGGAATACAGGCATAGCAACCCCTTCTTCGTACCTGCACAAGTGAAGTGTCGTTATATCTTTACAGATATATATTCCAGATCAATTATTCCATCGATAATTTGGATGTTCTCGATTGGAAAGCTGTTATCGTCAAACCAAAATGTTTCCATTTTCGCTAGACTAATCGTTATATCAACAGTCTCCTAGTGCGAGATTTTAGACAAATTACTGGGCTTGGGCAACAGCTGGCCTCCAAACTTATGAGTTGTTGTAACTTGAATAAAGTTAAATTGCACTTCAACTTATTTAATCTACGGTGCACCCAAACGAGATCCTTGTGTTAAACTAAAGATTGTCGCTGCATGAACATGAGAATGTTAACACTCGAAGTAAGGCCCCTAACTTTTCGATGGCTGCCTTATGACAGTGAATAGGTCAGTTTGGTCAGAGTGACAGAGTTGGCGCCTAAGATAAACGATCTTAATATTACCACTTCGGTAATAATAACTACATATTAGCAAATTTATTTGGTCGCACCTGCCGCAGAAAGTGGAAATGCAGTTTTTGGTTAAAGCGTTGAAATCGAAAACAGAAAGAAAATGGGGAAAGAAAACTTACCTTCTAAGTACAACATGCATGCACGTATTCGATCAGCGACTTCTTGAATTGTTTTTCTTCACATTGTTTTATTAACCACCTAAACAAGATCAAATCTTAATATATAATATATCTATATTATATTTTATACTTAACGAAATCCCTCCGGCAACGGGGACATTAAAAAAAACAAACACTGAAAATCGACCAAAAACCGACCCTCTGGCGTGGCCAATTTTAGCTCGCAAATGGAGTTGAAACCTCGCCATTTTGAGCAGGGTTGTATAAAAAGGATAGGAATAGGTTGTAGCATTCTTAGAATTTTGATTAAGGCTTTAAATTTTCTATAATCAACGTCGGAAGTGAGGTAAAATAAACGTTAGAATAATGGCGTTATTTTATCAAAGATTACCTGCGCCGTTGCTTAGCAACATCAAGAGATTGCACGTGCGCGAGCAAGAACAGATTAGCAACGCGGGCTGTCATGCTCTCTATCTCTCTATTAATGCTTTTCAAACAAAGTTACAACGAATTCTTCATGTAATGCATCCTGGGCAGTGGCGTAACGTTGCTTGTTGGCGCCCCCCTGCCGAAAAAAGCGCCCCCCTGTTGGCGCCCCCTCCCCTTTTGGTGCCCCTCCCTAAAATTGAACAAATTAGGTGATTTTAAAGAATACGCCGGTAAAATCTCTAAAAAAGTGTGTATTTAGATTTAAAACGCGCAGTTTTGCTAGTACTTTAGTTAAGTTTTCGAAATTGTCCCACATTCAAACGACGATTTGGCGCCCCCCTAAGACGGCGCCCCCCTGCACAGCGGGGTCAGCAGGGCCTTTCGTTACGCCACTGATCCTGGGCATGAACAGGATATGCCCGTTTAAAATATTTCCATCACGTTGCATTACATAATTCTCAATAAAAATAATAGATTTGTAGTGTCGTAAATAGTTTAAAACTATAATACGGCATAACTACGCTATGACTAATGACTATCCATAACTTTGGTTGTGATTGATGTTTTTTGATACGGTAAAAAGTATCGATTAGGGAATACCTAATAAAACCTTTATCGTTATCGGCAAATAAAAATCCATACAATTTATATTACGGAGCTAGATCATAGATAGATAGATGATGACAAGAAACTATAACATAACTGATTTTAAATTTCCTTTAATAAAGCTTTCAGCTAGCGGATGTGCAGGTTTGAGGAAGCCTATGAGCTAGGTAAGCAGATAACTTAGTGTTTACCATATTATAAGGCATCGTACAAGAAAAATGTATGGTCAGGAACAGGTTATAAAATATAATAATACGGAATATTGAAACTGTCCCTTTGATCACGAATCAATACGAACAAAAAGGTAGATTGATATCAGCGTGAATATGAGGTATATAAGATGAGCTATAGGAATAAATAGATATTATGTTTCGCTTTATAAGGCAGCTACCCAGGCCGAGTCTATCGACCACAAAAGAAAAGGATGAAACATTTTTCCTGTAAGCTTGTATAAAAAATATACTAGCTTGTTGAGTATTACATGCGATGAGCTATTGTTACTTGATCTCTTTATATCACAAGAACCAATCATGTCCTAAAATTCCCTACTCAGAGTCAATATCCCATTAATTTTAATTGATAAGCTAAGAAGGTACACGAAACGAGTGTGAACAATGTTGCGTTATCCAGCTATTGTCGTGCGAAGTACCTACAGCTTTACACGTCACGAGGCACACTGTTCCTACTCAAGTATTGCATCCTAAAAATCTTCTCTCCAGATAAATTTTATTCAGGCAATACTATCGAGAATATATCTATTTATATTTAAATCTTGACGAAAAAATCCATAATTCCTACAGTATAACAGAGCTAGATGATGAGTAGAAATGATAAAACAAAAGAGCCCTGGCAGGGCCAGCTGACAAAGCATGGACTGAATACTACTGATTACGTCTACAAAATGCCAACTTGCTTTTTTTGTTCTGAACCGTTAAATGTTAATTAATTGAGCTGTAATGGTGCGGAAAAAAACAAGCAATTCCGGAGAAATCAGCTCAAACTTATCCATCAAAATTGTAAGGCAACTGATAGGTTACCAATCTAGGTTGAACTAAATTTCAAATTATCAACTGTAAGTTACCAAATAAAGTTACTGAAGTAAATAAAAATTCCGAAAGGAAGTAGTACAATCGCAGACGAAATAGTGTGACATTGCCAGCATTGACAACATTGACAGTCAGAACTAACTCTCAAAGTAGCTGACTTTACAACGTGTCATTCAAATTACAAGTACGACGGAAAATAAGTTATATTATGAAAGAGCAGGCCTCCTTCATGAGTTATATTCTCATTTATAGTGTTTGTTAACTTTAAGCGCCCAGTGCATTACAGGTATATTTGTACACAGATTCCCCACACTTCAAACTATAAATAAATCTATGGTAAAATAGAGTGGTATAGGTGGACTTTGTTCCGCTGCAATGAGGCCCATTCTAATGGAACGTACATCAGGAGCTCAAATGAATTTAGTGAGCTCATGTCATTAAAAATCCCGTCAATGCTCGATGATTCGATGGGTTATTGATATTTTATTCATCACTAAACATGTATTTTTTAATGAAATGAATTGTATCCTTAGCATTATTATTTGATAACACACAATGGCTTATACATAAACTGGGAGGAATGATGAGGAAGACCCCCCAGAGCAACTCTAATAACAAAACTAATTTAGTTTTTAGAAGGTAGTAAAAATCACTCGACTGTAAAGAACCCTCATCAGGTTATGAAAAGTGATATCAAACTATTATCGCAAAATTATTTCTCGAGTTCTTATGCCAGATTAATAACCTTGATAACGTATCATTACATTAATTTTACTCCTCCATTAGTAAGAGGCAGGTTTATTTTAGACCGAGAATAATAGTGCATTGAATGAGGAGCACCTGCCAATAACTACTACGTGCCAAATTAGTTGGAACAGAAACGAAAGATAACAGATGACAATGACACGTGAATACGATTACTGATCACTGGTGATTCAGCCAATGTTGTGAGGCACATCATAAGGGGTTATGAGCTGTTTATTACATTAAGTTCAAATGCCATAATTGTTCTGACATTGACAGCGCTCTTCTCACTAACGAACTCGGTCATTTTTGTTGGGCCCTGAACTAAAAAGCGGCCCTTATTATCGGGTTGCCATGACTACGCTTGGCAATATTACTACTGTTTTTGTTCAAGATAATTTGCCGCCTTCACGGTTGACAGATAACATATTATACTTTATACAGGATGTTATATATGTAGATTCTAGACGTTGGCTTATAGCTTTACAACACCCGACAAGCCGTGCTGAAGATCTTGGCTCCTCACTGTCTAGAGTCCACACGATAAATCGTTATCAGACCTCAATGTTAGATTCAATAGTGTATTAGTTAACCTGCCCTTTTGGCGAGCAAACAGGTCAAGAAATTAATCAATTTGCAGCGTAATCTGTACTGAAAACGAGAAGCTAAGAGAGCCACTATACATATGATTGTTACCACCTAAGATTCTCCTGAATTAATATAAGCCAAGTATGATATGTAACATAAAGGAAAAACGAGATGTGTATTTTATCAAAAAGTAAGCAAATAATTTAACAAAGAAAAGGGTATCATCGCAGATCAAAGAAAGAGATAACAGCAAAAGGCCTTGTATTAGAAAATGATGCCAAATTAATTAATAAACAGTCTACCAGAAATTAACAATAAGTAGACAGCACAGTACATTAGTTCACATGCTTCGGTGAGTACCAAGATATTGTTCTAGATATAGTGACATAGTTACATCCTTGGAAACAGTGCCGTGTACAAAGGTCCTTTGTTTTTACTATACGTGTAATCTCAAGTTTAAGTCTTAAACTTTAGCTTAAACATACAATGTACTGCTAAAGGCTGTGCAACTGCAAGTACTTTTAAAGATAATGTATTAAGAGTTCAAAAAGAACTGATATAAAAGTTAAAAATAAATAAAAGCGGAAAATAATCATCAAGTATTTATAAAGATTGAATAAATAAAGTAGTACGATAATCATTTAATTAGATCAAACCTCAATCTAAATTATTACGCTGCGCAACAGGACAAAAGATGGGGACGGAAAGAGAATAAACGCCATAATAGCCGTTACGAACAATTAAGCTCAATTAAATATTCTAAGTACCCTAGCAGCACTGTAATTAACTACTAAAATAATGGCTGATGGCTCTAAGTGCGATTGGACATACTCATAAGCTCACAGTGTTGGTCATATCTCGGAAAACATTAATATTTAATACTAATAGTCAGGACATGAGTCACTTCGTTGCTAAGGTGACAAACCGAGTTTATCCCTAACAGAAGCATGAAATACGCTTGCAGCCTTAGGATTTCATGTAATCAGTCGTTAGTGGACAATCAGGTTAATTGCAGTGATATAACAGGGGAGCATTAGGTATGTGATATGGTAGCAGAGAACGAGAGTAAACAACAGCATTTTCAGTTAAATTCAAAGTTGAGAACACGGGAAATAGCGTACTTGTATTATTTAATAACTTGCTTTGACCTTTGAAATGAGCTTTATACAACTTAATCGTACCGAAAACTACATTGTAGAATCTGACAAGCACCTTGATGAAAACAGACGACTGATTTCTCCTTCATAAAATCAAGTCCTCAAATTTCATAACTAAACACAAATCTAATTGAAAAGCCCTGCACGTAATAACTTACTGACAAGTACTATATATATTGCTCCAACGTACCGTAAAATCACTTCGTTCCAAAGTTCTCACTAATTCCGACAAAATCTGTCACAACTTACAACTAAGAGAAAACAGATTTAATAAGCCTAAGAACAAGTAGCTTCAAGTATAGCTGCTGTATCACTGTATTACAGCTGTAATATTGTGTTGAATAGTGAAACAAACATGCACGTTCAAAGGAAATCGCTTGTTGAGCACTCATAATTCAGATATACGTTTAAAATGGACAATACTTACCTCTACTTAATTGCTTGATATTTACTTTTTACTGTGAACTCAACTGTATATTTTCCACTTGCTAAGTGTGAAAAATCAGTGA